AACACGACCGCGAGCACGACCACCAGCACGACCACCAACACGACCACCAGCACCTCCAGCACGGCCAGCCACCAGCACGACCACCAGCAGAACCACCAGCACGACCACCAGCACGACCACCAGCACCTCCACCAGAACGGCCACCAACACGACCGCCAGCACGACCACCAGCACAAGCACCGGCACGCCCAGCCACCAGCACGACCACCAGCACAACCACCAGCACAACCACCAGCACGATCACCAGCACGACCACCAGCACCTCCACCAGAACGGCCACCAACGCGACCGCCAGCACGACCACCAGCACATGCACCAGCACGACCACCAGCACGACCACCAGCACGACCACCAGCACGACCAGCCACCAGCACCTCCAACCACGACCACCAGCACGGCCGCCAGCACAACCACCAGCACGACTGCATTATGGGCACACGGTCGGTCGAAATAAAGCAGTGCGAGATCACACCGGTAGGTATGATGATAATCCTATTACATATGGATCCACCTCTGATAGAATGATAGAATCCGATTAGGGATGGGCCCACCTACCCCTGATGGAGTCCTACAAGACATGGGTCCACCTCTAATAGAATACTATTACATATGGATCCACCTCTAACAGGGTCGTATTACAGACGGGTCCACCCCGAGTTCAATCCTACCACAGGTGGACCCACCTGTAGCAGAATCCTAACACATATGGGCCCACCCCTAATAGAATCCTGGTACGGCTGGATCCACATCTAGCAGAATCCTGTTACAAATGGGTCCATCTCTAATGGAATCCGACTACAGCTGGATCCACAACTCATGGTATCATATGAGAGATGGGCCCACCTCAAATGAAAGCCTGTTACAGATGAATCCACTTCGGATCACATCCTAACAGAGATGGGTCCACCTCCATTTTTTTTTTTTTTTTTTTAAAAAAAAAAAAAAAAAAAAAAAAAAAAAAAAAAAAAAAAAAAAAAAAAAAAAAAAAAAAAACTGATGGCTCCACCTCTAATTGAATACTATTAAAAATGGGTCCACCTCTGATATGATCAGATTAGAGATGGACCGACCGCAAATCGAACCCTATTGCACATGGATCCACCTCTAATAGAATTCTGTTCGGGATGGATCCACTTCTAATAAAATATTTCCAGGGCTGGGTCCACCTCTAATGAAATCCGATTAGAGATGGATTCACGTGTACTGGGATCCTAAACGACATGGATCCACCTCTAGTGGAGCCCTATTAGCGATGAATCCACCTCTAAGGGAATCCCATTACATATGGATCCACATCTACTAGAATCTGATGAGAGATGGATCCACCTCTCATAGAATCCGAATGGCGATTGACCCACCATTTACATCCCCTCCCTACAGAAGGTTTTCTCTTGCGGCGGATTACGAATTGATTCCTGTTGTGGCAAAGTATAGTTTGATTCCTTCTGTGTTGGATTACAAATACATTTCTTGTGGCGAATACAAATTACTTTTGCTTGTGGCGGAGTTCAAAGTGATTCCTTTTGTGGCGGATTTCAAATGGATTTCTTTTGTGGCGGATTATACATTGATTCCTTCTGTGGCGGATTAAAACTTGATTCCTTTTTGTGGCGGATTACATATGGAATCTTTTTTGTGGCGGATTACACATTGATTCCTAGTGTGGCGAAATACATATCAATTCCGTTTGTGGTGAATTACAAATTGATGACTTTGTGGCGGATGACATATTGATTCCTTTTGTGGCGGATTACAAATAGACTCCTTTTGTCGGGGATTACAAATTGATCCCTTTGTAATGGACTACAAGTTGATTCCCTTTGTGTCGGATTAGAAATTGATTTCTTTTATGGCGGATTACACATTGATTCCTTTCTGTGGCGAATTACAAATTAATTCCTTGTGGCAAGCCCAGCTGGTAGTGACCCAGCCCAAAAGGAAAAAAAAAAAAACATTAAACTTTGTGGAAATTATAAGACTCCCAAACGTTTTTGAAGTTTGGGGCCAAAAACATATAAAAACATTGCGTTCCCCACCTCCTGGGAGCCCAAACCATATAAAACACAGCAATTTGGAGACCTGATGTATGAGCATGTTGTGTTTTATATGGTCTGGGCTCCCAGGAGGTAGGACATGTTTTGTTGTTATATGTTTTTGGTCCCAAACCTCAAGAAACAATTGAGGGTCGTATAATTTCCCCAAAGTTCAATGATTCCTTGTTTTTTTCCTTTTGGGACCTGGGGCACTACCAGCTGGGCTTGCCACAAAAGGAATTAATTTGTAATTCGCCACAAAGGGGTTCCTTTTGTAATCCGCCACAAAAGGAATCAATTTGTAATCCGCCACAAAGGGAATCAATGTGTAGCTCAGCACAAAAGGAAACAAATTGTAATCCGCCCAAAATATCATCAATTTATAATCCGCTACGACAGGAATCAATTTGTAATCCGCCACAAAAGGAATCAATTTGTAATCCGCCACAAAAGGAATCAATTTGTAATCTGCCACAAAAAGAATCAAATTGTAATCCGCCACAAATGGAATCAACGTGTAATCCGCAAAAAACGTATTTGGAAAATCTCCAAAACTCCTCCGCGAGCCGTGTTCCAGGGGGCGGAGACAAAACCCTTGCGGGCCCCCGGGGGCCCGAATATGTCCCGGGCGAGGAGCCGCGCCGTGAAGCTGCCGCGGCCTCGCGCACGTGGTCGGCACGGGCGCGGGAGACGCGCGCGCTCGTCGCGAGGCCCTCCCTCGGCGGCTGTGCGCGGGAAGCTCGCCCCGGGGCTGCTCGCCCCTAGACCGTCGCCTCTCCGAGCGGAAGGAGGCGGGAGGAGGGAGGAGGGAGGGAGGGGAGGGAGGGGAGGGAGGGAGGGAGGGAGTGAGGGGAGGAGGAGGAGGAGGAGGAGGAGGAGCAGGAGGAGGAGGAGGGAGGAGGAGGAGGAGGAGGAGGAGGAGGAGGAGGAGGAGGACGGAGGAGGAGGATGAGGAGGAGGGAGGAGGAGGAGGAGGAGAATGAGGAGGAGGAGGAGGAGGAGGAGGAGGAGGAGGGAGGAGGGAGGAGGAGGAGGAGGAGGAGGAGGAGGAGGACGAGGAGGAGGAGGAGGAGGAGGAGGAGGAAGGAGGAGGAGGAGGAGGAGGAGGAGGAGGAGGAGGAGGAGGAGGAGGAGGAGGAGGGGGAGGAGGAGAAGGAGGGAGGAGGAGGAGGAGGAGGAGGAGGAGGGAGGAGGAGGAGGGAGGAGGAGGAGGAGGGCTGGGGCCCCCCCCGCGCACCCGTGGCGCCCTCGGGAGTGTCGTCGGCGGCGAGACGCGAGGCCTGACTCCCGCCCAGCCTGCCAGCGGCATCCCCTCGCGCAGCGCGGCCGATCGCGAGCGGCGAGCGCACCTCGGAGGCGAGTGAAGCCCAGGCATTTTCGATTCGCGGGTCGAGAGCGCACCTCTTCCGGTCGAGACTAAGCGGGCCGCGCGAAGCCTGAATTAACAAAGCGGGGGGGACAGAAGGAGAGGCCTCGGCAAAGCCCAGGCATGCGGCGTCTCGAAGAGATCGAGGCGGAGGTTGTGCATCGCTTTCGGCCTCTCGGAGCCCTCGCTGGGCCTCGCAAAAGACCATGGACCGACCACAACGATATTTGAAACGAAATGGCGTTGACAACGAACAGCGAAACGAGGCCAAACGCTTGAAGCGAAAGTTTAAAGCGAAGCCGGTGCCAAACGAATACGAACGACGAAACAGGGCGCTTGAATCAACGGAACAACACAACGAAACAACTACAACAACAAAAAACGGAAGCCAGAACAAGGGTCCAAACCAAGCTAAACAGACTTGTGGTCGGTCCTTGCAACTATCGAAGCGCCGGATGTCTGGAGAGACCACCGCCACCGAGAACCCATGAGGAGGAGGCCGACCCCTGGACGGTGGCACGCCTGAGCGTTGTCCAATATTGGGTCACGCTCGGGCGTGCCACCGCCCAGAGGTGGGCCCCCCGATGAAATCTCGGTAGCAATGGTCTGTTTCTCTTCTAATATTCGTCTCCACGCCCTCGCGATATGGCTTCCGGGGCGCAATCCCGCGAATGCGCAGTCGTATGGACACGTTCCGCGCAGGGCATCCGTGAAAAAAACGCCCCGTGCATGGATCGCCGCGCAGGTTGCTAAGTGAAAGGGGGGGACAAGTAGATACTTAGTAGTGTGGGTTAAATCTGGCCCAACTTGGATGAGAAGTGAGTCTCAGGTGCCCTATGTGGCGAAGGGGTGAAACTATTCTGGCTAAGTGGGCTCCGCACACGCAGTGGGTACGCGGTAGTGGGAAGGCGGGTGGCGTTGGAAAGTGGGTGCGGAAAAAAGTGCTCGAGATGGGTGAGGCAACACAGTGCGTCCAACAGCGAGTGCTGTCCAACACCGACAGCGGCTTCTGTTGTACAGGCGACGTGTGTCTCAAAGGGAGTCCCCAGCGACGACGACAGCCTTTGGTGCCGAACCATTTTTTAACGGTCCACAGACCCGGTGAGTTGACGCCAAACGAGACAAGTACACCATGCAAGATTGCAGAAACCCTAAGGCCCAAAACGTTGTGATCTCTTGGAAGAGCATCTTTTGCTTCCGCCAGCCTTCCGACCGCTTCCGCCGGCGGAAGCGGCCTCATTTTACTTCCGCCGCCTTCCGCCGGCCTTCCCCCACCTCCCGCCGAGGCAGAGATGGCCACTCCTTCGATCCTCGAAGGCAACGCCCTCTTTGGAACGCTCCAGGTGACCCCAAACCTCGGAGGAGCACGGATCGGGAGCGGCCAAGAGGGGGGTGTCCAAGAGGGGGGGGTGCAAATCATGACTGGCGGCATGTGTGCGGCCCAGCGGGGGGGGCCAGGGACGTAATGAAATGAGCAGAGGCGCCATGAGATCTGGGGAAACATCGTGGCCGACGCCATGAGATCCACCCCTCCCTAGTCATCACCCCCCTCTTTTCCGCTCCCGAACGGAGAGCAACCGAGGCCCGGGGCGCGCGCTGTCCACTGCCTGCTCGGTGCCGCTCTCCGTCATGACCGAGACCCGGCGCGCCACGCGGCCCCGCAGGGCGGCGGCGCCGAGCGGCGCCGCGGCCTCCGCAGCACCGGCCGAGGCGCGGCCACGAGAACGTGCCCTGAAACGAAGCCAGGGCGAGGACACCATCGGGTGACTCGCCATCGCTCGGACGTCCATTCCCTGTGCTTGTTTCGGTTTCGTGCGTGGTTTTTTCGCCAATTGATCAAGGTTGCTCCTCGATGGTTCTCGCCGAAGGATCATGCGCACGTCCGAGCGATGCCAAGGTGAGGATGAACTGAGAGATCCCTGAGGTCCAGCAGCTCTGAAGAATGTCTCGGGCGCCGCGGCCTTACTCGGAGCGTTCCGGCACGCTCTGAGAGCGTTCCAGGAGGCCGTGGAACGAGTCATCCTCGTCCTGGCCCCGTCCGATGCCCCCAGGCCCAGACGTCGCGTTGTGTTCGCAGTGGTTGGGCGTGGCTTAATGGGGGGGTCGCAGATGGGGGGGTCAGAAAAGGTCCTCTTTCGTGCCCCTTTCGGGCCCCTCCAGAGCCCCAGGGGGCTCGTTTAGGTACCGTTTGGGTACCTTTTCAGACCACACTCGCCACCCCACCATTTATGATCCCCCATTACGCAGCGCCCAAAGTGGGCGATGTTGCCCTGTTCCGGGCCCCCAGACCCTCACGGCCCGATCCGGCTCAAAACTGAAACGGAAAGACGGGGACCAGGGCTCCAGGGCTCCAGGCGTGAGGTGCCCCTTGCAAGCACCGTTGCAGCGCTGAGGGCCCAAACGGGAAGAGCAGACGAACATCCTCCCCAAGCTGGGGACTGCCCTCATTGCTCGCGCCAGCTCCAAGACCAAGGCGGGAGCGGGACAGGATCTCCGACGACGTGATTGTTCCAATCTGGGTGTGCTTCCTCGACTGCGGCCTTTGGGGCTCGTCCGAGCGCCCTGCGGGGCCATCGGAAACGGGTCCAGGGCGAGACACTGGCCCCGGGGAAGGGGTCGGGGCCTCTGGGGCCGCACATTGGACACCAACACCTCGCTGGACGCCCTGGCATCTTCGGGAGCGGCAAAGAGGGCGGTGTCCAAGAGGGGGGGGCCAGGGACGTAATGAAATGAGAAGAGGCGCCATGAAATCTGGGGAAATATCATGGCCCACGCAATGATATCCAGCCCCCCCTAGTCATCACCCCCCTCTTTTCCGCCCCCGACATCTCCGCCGCGGCCGTTCTGGAGCACTCCAGAGCGCTCTGGTAGCGTTCTGGAACGGTGTATCCCGATCCCAGGCCTGTCTGACCAGGGGCGCGCAAACATGGATCAGCGATCCATGGATTTGGCGCGCGGCCGCCAAATCCATGGATCGGGGGAAGTGCCCTCCCCACAATGCGGCCGGTGCCGCCTCGCTCGGCGGCGGAAATCCGCGATTTCCATTGGAAACGGGACCCGTCGCTAATCCACGCCCCCTTAATCCATGTTTGCGATCGCCTGGCTGACACAGGCTCGGTGGCGGACGGCTCCAACTGCTCGCCAGTCGTCTCGACCGCCGCCGCCGCCGTGGGCGCCGCCACCGTCGAGACGATCAACGAAGACCAACGACGCTCGACGGCGAGCGACGACGAACGACGACGACGTCGGCGGCGACGGCGATGGCGGCGGCCCAACTCCACGCCAAACCAGACCTCGGATCCCCTCCCCAACAAAATGATACCGGAGAAAACCCCAACCAGGGCTATAGGGCTAGGGGGCTATAGGGCTATTGAGCTATAGAGCTACAGAGCTAGAGGGCTATAGAGTTGTAGGGCTATAGGGCTATTGGGCTACTGGGCTAGAGGGCACCCCCGGGCACCCCCGGGCACGCCCAGGCACCCGGGCACCCCCTGGCACCCCCGGGCAACCGAGCACCCAGGCGTGCAGCCAAAATCGGCGGCAAACCTAACCTAACCATATGAATCCGCTGGGACCCCTACAGAGGCAAGCTCTGATTGGGGAAAAACGAATCAGAATCGAAGATATTTTTCGGTCTCTGGACTTACTGACTGGTTGCGTGGTGGATCCAGCCTCAAGGCCCGCTCAGCTTGGAGGCCGCGCCGGGCCTGACTGAGGAGCTCGGTCGCATCAGCAGACCGCCACCCACCCGGGATCTGCCCCATCCACTACTCCATCAGCTCTGCCCATCCCCCTGCCCCCCATCCCTTCCCTCCTACTCCTCCAAGCTGCCCCTCCCTCCTACTCCCCTCCCTGCCCCCCCTCCCCTCCCTCCTACTCCCCCATCCCTCCTACTCCTCCAAGCTGCCCCTCCCTCCCTGCCCTCCTACTCCCCTCCCTCCTACTCCCCCCCTCCCTTCCCCCCCTGCCCCCCTCCCTTCCCTTCCCTCCTTCCCTCCTACTCCTCCTCCTCCAAGCTTCAGAGGGCGGTGGACGCCCCCAGTCACAGCTGCCTCAAGTGTCCGGGCAGCTGTAGTTTTGCACTGCGTAGCGGGACTGTGTCGCCATGGCCACTTCAAGATCCTGCCTGGGACTGGCAGAGTTTGTGCTGCCAGGATGGTCAACCCCGGGTCTCCCCCACCCTGCAACGAAGACACGTTCAGCAGCATGCAGTGGCCAAATCCTCCCGCGAGTTTGGGAGGATCGGGCTGAAAGGGCAGCATGCTGCACGCTTCCCGCCGCGAACTGTGGCTGCCACGAGGTATGATGATCTTTGCAGGTGCTGTGGACGCGCCCCCTCAAACGCCTGCTCGAGAGGTGCGAGCCTGTGCAGATAGAAAGAAGCGTTGTCACTCAGGCCAAATACACTGCGCTCATGAGTCTGACATTGTTTGCCACCGAGGCCATGGCATCTAAAAGAACAGAACTAACCAGCCTCGAATTGATCCCTATCCCTAAGATGGGCGAGCAACAAGCGAGGACAATCTTGGGGATAGGCCCCCAGAAACTAGGCCCTCAGAAACTGAGGGAATCCTTAAGATCGGCATCGAGGTGAGGTGATGTCAAACATAGGGATAGGGATATGTTTTGACCTGGTAAAGAACTGCGAAAAGCCATGGAATTCCCCATGCTTGCGCAGAGTGCGTGGGTCGGCGCCAGGCCCGGTCCCGGCGCGCCGAGCGCCCACGCCGCCCCACAGGGCCCACGGGGCTGCCACGCTCCGAGGGGCTCACGAGGCCCAGGGAGCCGACGCGGCCCCGACGCCTCAGGGGAGGAGCCTATGGGGCCCGCGCGGCTCGCTGGGCTCGCGCGGCGCGTTGGGCCCGTGCGCACAGCGGCGCCCATGTGGCCCAAAAAACCTCTCTGGGATCTGTGGGGTTCATGGGGCTGGCGAGGTTCGCACGGTCCAATGGCCTCGCGCGGCGCACGGAAATACTAGAGAAAAAGGATTCGAGGAAACAAAGAAGACCCGCGTTGCTCCCACGCGCGCAGGACTGGCATTCATGGACGCGAGACAAATGGGCCAGAAGACACGGGCGGCGGCATTCAACAGAGGTCCTAACTGTTCCTTTTCCAGAGGCCGTATTTGCGTTGGTGTCGTGTTCTGGTGCGCCGATTACACGCTCCATGACACTCACTCTGCAAGGGACGTTTCATGACGCTGCGACAGGAAATGGCAGCGGTATTGGTAATTACGGGTGGACCTGAGACAGAAGAACATCCTTCGAGAGCATGAGACCCTCCGACCTCCAGCACACCCCGAACCATAAGATCACCAAGGGCACCGTTCCCCAGGATGCGCAAGAACACACGACAAGCACGAAGCACTCTAGGGTACCCTCCCCGAGCCGATTTCGACCTTGTACTTCGGTCCGACCGTACCTGTTCCTCCCCCGAAACAAAAGCAATGTCTCAAGAGGCCTCCAAAATGTGGTCCAGAGTAGATGGGTCGGAGGATCTTGCCGCATCGCCGATACATCGGCGATGTACCGCCGATGCATCGGCGATACACTGGCGATGCATCGGCGACGCCAGCGTGGAGAAAATCGGGCTCCACATCGAGCCGCATCGCCGATGCATCGACGACTCGGCGTGATCCTCCGACCCCATTTGCTCGGACCCCATCTGGGAGGCCCAAAACCTTCTACTCCTCCAAAGAATGCCGATGTCCCAAGGAGGGCCGCCGTTGCAGCCGCCCCAATTCGGGCGTTGGCAGAACTGGGTTTAGCGGGACCCGGTTTAGTGATGTGTGCTGGGGGACGCCCCCCCCCGCCCCGTTCCACTAACCGGAACTGCCGTCGCCCGAAAAAAACACCAGCTGCGGCAGACCTGGCTTGGTGAGGCCAATTTGGGGGCCCTGGGGCCCTACCACTGACCGGGTCCCCTTACCTGCGGTCCTGGCTATACCCGAGAAGAATGCCGATGTCCCAAGGAGGGCCGCCGTTGCAGCCGCCCCAGTTCGGCGGTGAACAAACCTCCCTGTAGTAACCCCCCCCCTTAGTGAAAACGGCCTGGGACCGAGACCGACGGACCTGGACCCGCAAAATAGCGGCCGCGACGCCCCCTCGCGAACCGAAAACGGCCAATCCCTTAATCGACGTGTCAGGGCAGGAGGTCTGTCCGCCCCCGATGTTCCTCCCCCGAAAATGCCGATGTCCCAAGGTAGGGGGCCACATGCGAACCCTACCCCTACCCCACACGATTTCTGAGGGGGAGGGTGGGGTTCACTTCGTTCGGGAGCTCCCGAGCGAAGTGAACCCCACCCTCCCCCTCAGAAATCGTGGGGGGTGGGGGCAGGGTTCGCATGTGGCCCCCTACAAGGAGGGCCGCGGTTGCAGCCGCCCCAGTGCCCCGGTGGGAGGCCCGCGGCCTGCCGGCGCGACGCCGAGAGCGCCAGCGCCAGGGCGGCGAGCCCCACGACGCCGGGCGCCAGGGCAGCGCCCGCGGACGGCGGGGGCGCGGCCTGCCGTCCGCCGCGGGCGAGGACTCGTAGTCGCGGAGGAGGCGGAGGCGAGAAGGCGGAGGAGCTTGGAGGAGGAGGAGGAGGAGGAGGTGATGGTATATGGTAGAGGAAGAGGAGGAGGAGGAGGAGGAGGAGGAGGAGGAGGAGGAGTTTGGTGGAGGAGGAGGAGGTAGGGGTAGAGGAGGAGTTGTTGGAGTGTGGTTGGAAGAGAGGAGGTGGGAGAGGAGTTGCTGGCAGTGGAGGAGTTGGTAGTAGTGGAGGAGGTGGTGGAGGTGGTGGTGGTGGTGATGGAGGATGAGGAGGAGGAGGGGGAAGAGGAGGGGGAGGAGGAGGAGGAGGAGGAGGAGGAGGAGGTGGTGGTGGTGGTGGTGGGGGAGAGAAGGTGGAGGAGTTGGTGGAGGAGGATGGGACGCACAGCGACATACTAATACTATATGTCCTCCTTGGAGGCGCGCGTCCGACCCGAACATAGAATGTACCCATCGTAAAAGTAGATCGTTTCCCGAGAGGCGTTGCCAGAAAGCGCCCGCCACGGCGCATATACTATAAGATTTCTCGGTGCTGCGCGCGTCGCCCCTGGGGGGGGGGCGACGCACACATAATATTCGTATGTTTGGGTGACGCCGAGAGGAGGTGGAGGAGTTGGTGGTGGAGGAGGTGGTGATGGAGGAGGTGGTGGAGGAGTTTGTGGTGGAGGTGGCGATGTGGGGTGGAGGAGGACGAGGAGGGTCAGGAGGCCCCCTCTGAGCCCTCGGGGTGGCCTGCTGGCGGCAGGGGCCTGCGCTGTGCAGGCCCCCCCTCCTGCGGGGCCCGCGCCCCGCCGGCGACGAGGCGCGCGCGGCGCGCCCGGCAGGGGGCGCCGTCGGCCGGCGTCGATCCTTCGTCGTCGAGCGGTGTCGGTCGTCGTCGTGCATCGATCTTCGGGGTCGATCGATGGTCGTCGATAGTTAGACGTCGATCGTCGTCGATCTTCGCCGATCATCGTCGATCGTCGACCTTCGTCGATCGTCATTCTTCGTCACCGATCGTCGATCGCAGTCGGTTGCCGATCTTCGTGGTCTTTGTCGATCGTCGATCCTCGTCGTCGTCGTCGATCGTCTATCGTCATCGATCGTCGTCGACGATCGTCGTCGATCTTCGTCGGTCGTCGAAATTCGTCGTCGCCGATCGTCGATCGCCGTCGATTGCCGATGTTCGTAATCGGTGCCCATTGTCGATCTTCGTCGTCGTCGTCGTCGATCATCGGTCGTCGAAGCTTGTCGATATTCATCGTCATCGCCGATCGTCATCAGCCGTCGTCGATCATTGATCTTCGTCGATCTTCGAAACATTGGATTGTCGTGGATCGTAATCCGTCTCGTCTTCGATCGACGGTCTTCGTCTTCGTCGTCGTCGACAGGCGATCGCGGCATACCGCTGCGGGGGGGGACTGCTTACGACGAGGGCAGGATGAGGACAACTCAAAATGAGATGAACTCCCAACGCCGATCCAAGAAATCCGCGCGGAGCTCCGAGAAATTCTACGTATGCCGACGCGTGTTCTTCGGTTTGTTCTTCCATATTCGTTCCGAGGCCTCTTCGATGGATTCGCACAGCCCGCCATCGCTCGGGCGTCCACCCCCTGTGCTTTTTTCGGTTTCGTGCGTGATAATTTCGCCAAATGATCAAGGGTGCTCCTCGATGGTTCTCGCCGAAGGAAGAATGCACAAGTCCGAGCGATGCCAAGACAGAGGAAACAGCTCCCGAGGGAGGTGGGCCATGGACCCTCGGGCCTTTCCCCGGGGACCAGCTCCCTACACTGGATCGTTGTTGGGGAGCCCACAAGCCCGGTGGTGAGATATCAGAGGAGGGGAACTGGGACACACAAATACATAGACACAAATAACCGGATTCCCCATATGTTATCCAATATTTTCTGGGTTTTTGTCTTCCCCCCCACTTCCCATATTTTCCTATATTTCCTGGGGATCGGCGATTGATTGTGTCTGTGTGTGTGTGTGTGTTTTTCCCCTCCTGAGTTGTTAGGGAGCCCCAAAACCAAGTGGTGAGATATCAGGTGGTGACCTGGAATCCCGAAAAAGTCCCCGCCGGGTTTTGGAACCCGGGGTCACCGCAGGGTTCTGTGACTCCTGGACCCACCAGCGTCCTGGACATCCTCGAAAAACCACACGAGTCCCCAAACCGGGTGGTGACACCGAAGACCGAAGCGCCCGAGACTCACCGCCGGGTGTTGTCGCCTCACGTCCGGGGGCTGCCAAATTTTGAGGCCCGGGGCCCGGGGACCAGGCGGGGTCCCGAGAGCCCGAAAGCAAGAGCAAACCCTCAGGACCCGATTCCATCGGGCCCAAGCTGCTTCATGGCGAACCGTGCCGAACGTCATCGTCGTCGTTCTGGCCCTCTCGTCGTCGCCGTCGCCGCCGTCGCCGACGCCGTCGCCGCCGTTGTCGTTCGATGTCGTCGCCGTCGCCGTTGTCGCCGTCGCCGACGCCCTCGCCCTAGTCGCCGTCGCCGCCGAGAGAAGGGGCAACGTCGGGGGGGAGGACTGGCTCATGGGGGGGACACGCCGACCTGGAAGCGGCGTGGCTACGGCGATAGATCGGCAAGCGGCCCCGATGGCGTGGTGGGCTACCAGGTCCCTATCCTCGCCATCGCTCGGACGTCCATTCCCTGTGCTTTTTTCGGTTTCGTGCGTGGTTCTTTCGCCAAATGATCAAGGATGCTCCTCGATGGCCCTCGCCGAGGAAAAAACGCACACGTCCGAGCGATGCCAAGTATCGGCGACGGAACCGACGAATGAGGGTCGATGCGCCCCCTCATGAGCCTGCCCCCCCCTAACGTTGCCAATGACCTTCCGCTCCTGGGCCCTCGGGCCACACCTCGGGACTCCAGCGGCCGTTCGGAACGATCCCAGCAACCGCAGAACGGCCTCAACGAGGCGTCCATGGTTTCGGAGACGTTCGCAAACCCCCCTGGAGCCTAATTCTCCCCTCTGATCCTGTCCCCCCCGACGTTGCCTCTGATCGGACAAGCTGGCAAACCTCCAAGAACTATGAGAACGTCTGAAAACCACAGCGAAAACGTCGGAAAACCACCGAAAGGTAGTAAGAACACCAACCAATCCTGGCACTGAACCTGATAAAAGCCGAGGTACTCACAACGTACGCTAGCGCAAACTTGTGATTGCCCACAAACGCCCTTCAGAGCAATGCAGGCGAGATCTTGGCCAACACGGGTCGCGCGCCGTCGGTGGAGCCGAACGGGGTAAACACACACACACACACAGAGAGAGACATACACCAGGCTAACTGGACAACCGCCTTCCACTACCCACAAAACAACTGCTCTCAAATGGCGCGGATCCGCCGCGGGGGATCTACGACCACTACATCGAGGGAAGCACGTGCTTTTTTGTTCAGATGTTTGCGAGTCGACACTTTGCGAGTAATGGAACGGCCTCGGCAACTCACGTGAGATGCCCATTTGAAGGGACCCTGGGACACAAATAAATGCACACGAATAACAGAATTCCCCCTATGTTCTCATATGTTCTGGGTTGTTGTCTTCCCCCCACTTCCCGTAGTTTCCCATATTTCTTGGGGATCGACGATTCATTGTGTCTGTGTGTTTGTTCCCCTCCTGACCCTTCTGGGGACCACCCAGCAGCCACTCGCTCCACTGGTGCGCCGAAGCTGCGCCGAACCTCCGTGCGTCGAGGCTGCGTCGAACTTGAAGCGAACTGGCAGCGAACCCAAGCCGAAGCGATCCGTTCGGTTGGGCCCCAGGGGAGGCTCCCCAAGCGAGCATCTTTGAGCAGGAACCGACCGTCCTGGCACTCCTATAGTCCTACCACGAAATGTTCTCAGAACCCAAGAACGTTCTAAGAACCGAAACAATGTGCTTAGAGCCTAAACCCGATGTGATGAAAACAAGACAGTCCCAACCAGAAATGTTCTGAGAGCATGTCGTGGGAACCTCAACAGAGGTTCTTGGGACATGGTTCGGGAGGGCCATAGGCGAGCCAGGACGCCTCGCCACTGCCTGACATCTGACTGACACGCGCCCTCGGGAGCATCGCACGAGGCAGGGCGCCGGAGGGGTGCCTCCCCGCCGGCGCGCAGGTTCCCGCCGCGCGGGCCCTGGCGGCCGCCTCTTTGTCGCCCTCCGCTTCGGCGGGGCCGCGCCGCGGAGCGGGGCGCTGCTGCGCGCTGCGCGCGCGTTGGGCGCGGGGAAGGGCACGAGGGAACAACGAGGTACAGCCGGACTTGCTTGCACAGGACACGCGAGAGGACAAAAGACCCTTCAGAGGGCCACACTGCCATGGGACTGCAGGAGGCATGGGTCGCGGGACACAAGACACAAAGGTACCCGCAGATTCGGCAGGGTCGACCTACTGATCCGGGCCGACTGTACGGCCAGACCTACGCAGGGCAGAACAACACCCTGCAGGAGCATGCAGACCTCCGCAAGCCAGAGTGAAGAGCAATCGAGGGTGCCCTCCCACAGGATGCATGAGAACATCTGACAAACACGAAGAACCTTGCTGTATCCTCCCCGAACTGGCCTCGGTCTTACACCTCGACCCAGCCGTACCTGTACAACAACGGGGAGGCTGTGAAAACTAAGGGCTGAACTCAATACGGACACGATGGTCGGCGCAGGAAAAACCGCGTTCGCGCGGGCATGTGCAGCAAAAAACACCAACAGAGCCCGCGCGGCGATCACAAACAACTAGATGCTTTGTTTAAAATCACTTCCCCCCGACGACCAAAAGACAGCCAGATGCCCAGAGCATGCAACACAACCGTGCCTGGCTCGCATATTTGTTTACAGCCTCCCCGTATGGGACGTAGAGGGCACATACGGTGATGGGCATTGGATAAGGAACCATTGGATAAGGAGCCATGAAAAAATAACCAGTGGATAAGGAAGACGAGAACGACGCAATGATCCGATTGGCCCGATAGGTGCTCCACGAGTTCCAGAATATCCAGCGGCCTTCGCTTTTGCAGCCCGTGTGAACAGTAGGAAACCCTGAGAAACGTTGAGACCTCGTCTGTCCCATCGCGCTAACCATCTGTGTCGCATCCATGTCGAATTCG